ATGGAGCGCCCGAGAGGAAACGAATGCAATATCATTGCATCCTGAGGTGTTAAGTTGCTTTTTGTGAGTATTAGTACATGCACTTAACCTTCAGTCCCTGGCTGTTGCCCCCCTTGGGCTTGTTAGCTAAGAAATACATCTGCCCTTTTCTCTCTTATGCCCAAGTTCCTCCAGAAACACATCAAGGAAACAATGTAGAAGGAAGTGAGAGATAAAGTTGCCGGGGCTCTGTTTATTTGCTGTGTCAACGAGTGAGAGATGACACTGTTTCTATGCGGTAGAGGAGGAAGAATCTGTCCAAGCGTTTCCTCGGGCCAAAAATGTCACTTGAAGAGGCCAAGGAGGATTACTGACAATTGCGTTTAGTACTGAATATCCTGACTTAAAGTTCATTACTGGGAGCAGAGTCATCATCAATCATTTATTGTGGGGTGAAAGGTGGGGGTATAAAAATATTTCTTTGCGCAAATTATGTAGGAAGGTTTGCAGGAGGTCAAAATGTGTCAAATCGAAAAAACATTGTATCGCAATCAGCCATCTTTGTTGTTTACGTTCACCTCACGTTGATTGTGATGGATAAGGGGATGAATATCCTGCCCTGAGGTATACCAAGTCATAAAACGTGTTGCTGTTAAGAATACCTTGTGGCAACACGGAAGAAAAGAAACTGAAAATGTGTCATGAGAATTCTTCAATAAATTCAATTCCATCATTCCAACACTTTGAGATCACAACTGGTGTGATCCAGGTGGCATAATTCCAATTTCCCACTTTTCTAAAATGCAGCATGAGGCCTGTTAAAGAGAACTTCTTCCCTCACTTCAACATAATTCCTTGACGCCAAAATGCCAAAAGACGGTGCCAAGGAACTACTTTTATATTCGACAAATCTTTGGCTTGGCCAGACAAACAAACAAAAAAAAAGCTGAAAATCAATCAGGAAGCGAGCAAAATAAATAAGACAATGAATAAATGCTGCCTGCAAGCCACAATCACTGTATAAGGGACAAGATGTCTATTACGATAGAGGCCCACTATTTGACTCAACGGAGGCCACAGAAATTCCTAAAATTTGTATTATTGGTCGATATTAATTTAAACCATTCCAATCAAACATCATCTTAAATATCCTTTTCATCCTTACCCTCGGTTTTGCGGCGGTAACTCTAACCCGCAGGCTGTCTGCGACGTGATTGATCACTTGCAGATAAACATCAGATAGAACAGGACAGACATTGATCCCCAGGAGGAAGAGAGGACTTGTCACACACGCACAGAGACATACACAAACCTCTGTGAAGCATCTGTCAAAACAGCACAACGCAGAACTGTATGCGTGTGACTAACGTGCAGACAGCTGTCAGCTCTTTGGGATGCCGCTTGATGAACACGCGGTGTTTCTTCCTGCTCAGTACAAAGTTAAAGGGAAGAATTGTTTTATGTAAGTCTGTTTTATGGATCTTTCTTGATGTACTGCTAAACCAAGTGCCCATAACTCTGGACTGTGGATTTGTTTTTTATATAATAAATAGTTGCTTCTCACATGTCTGTATTGAAGGCAGTCATTAAAATATGCTATGTGGAAAAATCCCACAACTCTGGACTGTGGATTTTTTTTTTATATATAATAAATCGTTGCTTTTCACATGTCTGTATTGAAGGTAGTCATTAAAATATGCTATGTGGAAAAATAAAATGATTTTTTTTTTTTTTTGAAGGGAACAAAAAAAAAACTCGCTGGGAAAAAAAATCATCAAAATGGAAATGTGATGTGTAGTTGGTCTCGCCTCATCATTGCCGAATAATGTGATATCATACCATTATATAGATTACTGATAAGAAATTAATCATCTGATATTATGCTATGTGGAAAAATAAAATGATTTTTTTTTTTGAAGGGAACAAAAAAAAACTCGCTGAAAAAAAATCAAAAATGTCCATGTCCAAACAAAATCAAAATTGAAAAATTTCAACAATTTTTCATTAATTGAAAGTTGTTTTGTTTTTCAAATTCATCATTGGGGTTGACGGTTTTGATGGTAATTGGAAATGTGATGTGTAGTTGGTCTCGCTTCATCATTGCCCAATATTGTGATATCATACCTTTCTATAGATTACCGAACAGAAATTAATCATCTGATACTGTGATGGATAAGGGGCTGAACATCCTGCCCTGAGATACACCGAACCACATAAAATGTTGCTGTGAAGAATCCCTTTTTTGCAATACAGAATAAAATAAACTGAAAATGTTTCATGAGAATTTTTCAATTAATTAGTCTATTTTCTATCCCAGCTATGCTGTTCATAGTCACACCTACTCCAAATGTCAGTCACAGAGTCAGAACTGAACCCACAAGGCCTACATAAGTCAGTCAAATGGACCACTAATTGATCACATTTATTTAAAGTGATTTAATTGAAATCAAATTATTGATTCAATCTCTTTCACCTGATGGGGGCCTTCAATACGGCAATATGTCTGTTCCCATCATTAGCCGGGCACACCACACAATACTTAAGCAAAGGAAGGCAAAGAAAAAGAGAGGTGAACGGTCAGTGCCACAAAAGGGGGCCAGCCTCGCATCGACAGGAAGAAAAGTATTAGCGACCTTTGTGGATTTCCGAGTGAAAGACTTTCAATCTCTTTCACCTGATGGGGGCCTTCAATACGGCAATATGTCTGTTCCCATCATTAGCCGGGCACACCACACAATACTTAAGCAAAGGAAGACAAAGAAAAAGAGAGGTGAACGGTCAGTGCCACAAAAGGGGGCCAGCCTCGCATCGTCAGGAAGAAAAGTATTAGAGCCCTTTTTGGATTTCCGAGTGCCACCGTGTTTTGCTTTTAATTGAAACAGTCACAAGTTACCCTGAGCGGCGAATCAAAGGGAAGGTGGGCAGGCTGTGAAGCCACTCCGTAACCCCAATTGTGCGTGCGTGTGTGTGTGTGTGTGTGTGTGTGTTAGACTGGGCAAAAGCAGATTTAAGATGGCCCCACTCCCATGCTCAGTCACTGAGGAATAGTCATTGGGCCCCTGCCTTGAGTTGAAACCATTTACAGTTGGCTACATGTCTACCCGATACAGCAGTAAGAGCAAGTCGAAGCAACAATATCTAATAAAAATGTATGGCGGCCCCTTTTTTTTTAATCAAGTTGACAATAATAGGTTTTTAGTCTGCACGCCGTTATTGTTGTAAGAGCAAGTCGAAGCAACAATATCTAATAAAATGTATGGCGGCGCCTTTTTTTTATCAAGTTGACAATCATAGATTTTTAGTCTGCACGCCTTTATTGTTCTATTTCCAGTTAAACTATATCTAATTTACTTTAAAGTGATTTGTCTAAGTTATGACATTATTGGGCCCTTGCCTTTGCCTTTTCAAATGATGTCCAATTCGCTCACAGCTCCGCACAACAGAGACACCGCAGCCAAAGTTCACCGTTCATTACGCTAGCTGGTGGCTAGCTTACAGGCTAACAGGTTTTCGGATGTCGTGAACTGGCAGTGCGGTCATTCGATACGTTAGAGCCTTGCTTGGTGTTTTCTGTGTGTGAGTCCTCATAAAAAAAGGGGATACTTCGGGGAAAGTTAAGTGTTCATTACGCTAGCTGGTGGCTAGCTTGCAGGCTAACAGGCTTTCGGATAACACAGTTTGGCGGCGGGGTCGTCACATATGCCATTGCCTTGCTTGGTGTTGTCTGTGTGTGAGTCCACATTAAAAGGGACATTTCAGGGAAAGTTAACAGTTAATTAAATATAGCGGCGCACGTTATTCAAATTGTGGCTCTGACAACAGATATTGGCCTACTGTCTGATGAGTCTCAAACTTTCACCACTTTGAAGCCTGTGTTCATATACTGGCTGATTTTTTTTTTTTTAATTCATTTAAATTTGGCAGGCTTGTTAACGACACCTCTCGATGGTGTGTCCAATTTTTTTTCTCACTCGACAGGTTCAGTAAACATCCATAAGAGAAACAAACTGAAATCTCACAAATGAGAATAAATATTGATACCGTTGATAGATACGAACAATATTTTCATTCCATCCCACGAGGCCCACCCTGTTATGTGAACCTCGTCTGAAAGTTAATAAGCTTCTCCAATAACAAACCTTGTTGTGTCTCAGCAGCATAACGCAGCCGGAACAAAAGCTCTGGTGGGCCGATGGGCTGTCTGCTCTGGAGCTTTGTCATATTTGCTCTCTGGACCTGATCCCCCTGCAGCCTGTTGACCTACGATCAACTCCTCATCTATTATGAAGCAGCGACTGGTCATCTAATTAAAATTGCAACTTTATTATTTTTCGAGCCACGCGGTTTTGTTTGGGGCGGGCTCGGGAGTTACCTCTCAAGTTCTCTGTGAAGGGGAAAGTCTTTAAAAAGAATGAGCGGGAGCTTGAATTATGCAAAGCGAGATTCATAAGGGGAGAAAATTCCGGGCCGTAGCAACATGAGAAGGTCGGCTCTGTGGCCTGCGTGACAGAGGGTGCCCCGAAGAAGGCGGCTGAGGATAAGGTGACGCGCAGTCGAACCTTCTCTGTGTTTGTTTAAAGGGTTAAAGCGTCACAACATACAGTAGCCCAAGAGGACCACCAGAGGAGCCTGCTGGGTATGAATATCATCAATTATTAATAATTAATAGCAAATGCCAAATATGTTATTTCACAAGGGTGTATCAAACTGATCTCCCTTCACATGAATCAGCACCGAAGAGTAGCTCTCCGCTTCAAGAAAGTTGGTGACCCCAACAGTAGATGCTCCTTAGCATTAACCCAGAGGACTAAAAGGTTCGCTATGTGGTTATTTTCAATACACACGTTTTCTTTTACTTTCATGTTTTTGTCCAAAATCACTTTTATGTACACCTATAGTGAGGAAAACATGAGTAAATGAGAGTCAAAAATGATTAGAATTGTTTTTCAGTCAAGGTGTCGTTTCAATTAATAACTTTTAGCACCCTCTTGTGGCATTTTAGGGTTACTGCACAAGGCTTTGTCGCCTTCGCGTGGCATCTTAGGGCTATTAGACACATCTTCGGGCATTTCAGAATGCACAAAAACAGTAAATAGGTAGCAATGAAAAGGTTAAGAGTAAGACTCATACAGCAAGCCGCCACTCTACTTAGTTTTTGTTGTCTCTCTCATTCATTTCCACTCTTCAATCTCCACTCTGTCACAATGACAGAGAGGGCGTGTGTGACAGTGCTGTGATGTCCAGCCTCCCATTGTATTGAACCAACACGTGCTACTTACACAGGAAGTGGTGAAGACACATATGATACAGGTGAGTCTCGAAAAAAAAAAAAAAGAATCACCCTGGGGCAAATGCTGCCCACCTGCCATCTAACAATGCTTTTGCCTGTGTGTTTGTGTGTGTGTATATATCAGGCCCAGGTGTGATGGCTGCCATGGTAGTCAAAGCGGCACTGTCAGATGGATAGCTTGAAGCACAGGTAAGGTCATGAATATATACCATGTCATGCTAGGCTAAGCGTGGCACGTTTTTGGCTCATGGTTCACAAGTCTGCTTCAGATTCAGAGTTCAAAGTTGCATGGATTTTCTTTCTAAGCACTCTGGCTTCCTCCAACATTGCAAAAACATGCGTGTTAGGTTCATTGACTAAATTGTCCATGTGTGCCCTGTGCAACGTTGGGCCCAGCCTGGCTGTCATTATTTGCGGATTAGTGCTGCTGGCCTGCACTCGCTTTTCACGTGGACATATTTTCCACTTCCGTCCCATTGAGCTCAGAGAGGAGCCACAACAAGAAAGAAGCAGCGTTCGTGGAAACGTATCATGCTGTTAATTAAGCCGGCACATATGAGCAATCACCCAAAGACGTCGCCGGCCTCACACATGCAAAAACGTGGCCGCATACAAAACACATCATGTACAGGTATTTCTGCATTCTTGTGGTAAACATTTTACTTGAACTTGGATACACTAATTAACCAGGGCAGGCCCAAGAAATAAGACAACTAAGCACCTGCTGAGGGCTCCATGACCACTCGGAGTGTTGTGTGTAATCAACTTGAGACTGCTCTTGTAGCGGAAAAGTGAAATAATTAGAAACCATACCTGGGTAAAGATGCGACTGCCATCAGGATGATGTGTACAAAACAGCAACAGTACACTGTAACACTGCTGCACTGAGTTTATGGTTGGTGTGTCAATGAATCAATAATTGATTTTTTTTAGTTGAATTGAGATCATTTTGTTTTTCCAAAACACTAGGACATCCCCCCACCCATAAAAAAAAAGATTACAATATACCCAAAGGGTAAAGCCTGAAGCTCGAACTTTTTAACAGCTATCCCTTTTAAAACCAAGGCAAGAACAAATTATTTCCTCACATTTCTTTAATATATTTCCAGACTGAATAATTACTTCCAAACTTTCTTATGCCTAATTCAGATTAATACATTAACAGTGAGAGTGGCCCCGAAATAAAATGTCGCCGTGGGCTCTGCCTCCCTCTGCAGGATCTCTTTAGGTTTGAATTAACTAAAGTAGTTCATTATTTTAGTTTTGATGCTGCCTTTCTGGATATATCCGAGAGTCGAATCAAGCCAATGTATTTGTATAGCATATTTCATGTACAATACCATTCAGAGTGCTTTAAATAAATCAATTGCATTACAGAAAGATAACCTTACTATTTAGACATCACCACAATCACATTAAAATCATGTACAATAATTGGATTAAATGATTAAAACAAAGTATAAGTCTAAAGAAATTACAAGACAGCTTGCAAATGGGAAGTAAAACAAGAGGTAGATTCATTCAGTCTGAGATATCCTTGCAAAGGCTAGTGGAGTGGAGCTAAACACAAGGCATCTGTCAGCCGGGGAAGCTCGGGAGGCATGTGAGGCCACTCAGTGTTCTCACCCAACCACAGCATGTATTTACCTTGCAAGTAGGGCGGCCAAGATGATGGAGTATGCACTCCAAAAAAAAAAAAAAAAAGGGTAGAGCTACAATGTGTATGTGTGTGTTTGCCAGAGGTGGAGAACTGAACATGAGCCTTAATTCCCCATGTGACCCCGAAAATACAGTATGCTACTCAAAGACAGTTAGAAACAGTATTAAGCTTTCGCGTAAAATTACGGGATGAGCTATGATACCATTTACCGGTAAACTCAATTTGATTTGTAATTTATGGAGAGAAGTATATGGCAGCAAATAGTCTCAGGTGTCTTGAATATAGCCCACCGGATTGCCATTGGGCTGATTTACCATTCCGCATCGAGAGGCGCTAGCTTACAGCTAGCTTTTGAAGCTAAAAGGCCGGTGGGGCTTTTATCAACCAGCGGGCTGACCACGGAATAAAATCTTTGCTTGGGAATTTAAATGACATCACAGAGCACTTCTGAAAATTGTGGCATCCAGGGAAGATGCAGTTCGAGATGTTGGCCTCGTTAGCTAGCTAACCGCATGACATAGTGGTAGAAATGGGCCTTATGATAGAACACGCCCAAAAACAACTGAATTGAATGCAATAGTCTTTGGCCATGTGTTTAACAATTATCTTCAAACATTAATAAATATAGAATCCAATCTCTGAAATATCTTTACATTATTTGAGATTTGGGTGGTGTTTAAGTGACACGAAATACAGATGAAGCCTGTAGGCGGGGTGGGTGCCAATGCTTCCCGTTTCTTTTGCCTCTCTCTATTTCCGTCCATTGCACAAGCGCGCTCATTGAACGTGCGAGTGCAGAAAAGAACACTGTGTGTATATATTTGTTGGTAGGGTAAAGTAGTCTTGGTTTTAGTAAGCCAGTGTCTCCTTGCGAGCAGGCAGGGCCAAATCATAATTCAGATTTTCTGATGACAATGACTTGAGAGAGCATTTCAGTCACACTTGACCTTTAAGGCTCGAACAACATGAGTGCTTATACTTAAAACGTAATAGCCAAGCGGAGTTATTCGGGCATCCGCGTGAGTCGACTGTATGACTTGTTTCAGGCTTCCTTGTAGCTTCACTGTACTCATTTTGTCTTTAAATGCTTCCACATTGACCCCGCGCACCTCGAGACGCACCAGTTGCAATGCTTTCATGTTCACATTTTAAATCATGGAGAGTATAGGTACCTCTCATGTATATCCCTTTTCACGAGCTAAAAAAAAAAAAAAAACGGGCAATTTGAGCCGAGCCCGAGCCAAAAGTGAACACAATGCAGCCATTGATGCTGAGTCACAGTGGATACCTTTATACCATCAAGAGGGACAGTGAATGCTATGGCACATAGCTTTCACTTCAAGACATAGTCCATGTTTGGCTCCTCAAACTTGTCCTTCGGCCTTCCAGATATAAACAGCTCATAAAGGCAGAACGCATACTACTGGACTGATTTAAAGTCCCTGTCAAGTGAAAAGAAAAGTCTTAGCTATGTTTGAGCTGTGAAAATATATCTGCTTAAAGCCTCCGGTGGCTGGGATGTATCCCTCCGGGCCACTACGGGGCTTTTCCACACCGTGACAAAAAAGGCACTCTAAAGCAGCCAGGCTAGCCCGAAGTCCTGGTCTACATGCTGACTGTCAAGTCTGACTGAGAAAAAAATGTTTAAAAGTCCCTCCGCTACCCACTCACCAGTCAACTTTTTCTCTAGCTAGTTTGCTAGCTAGCTAGCTGCACATTGAAATTGTGCCAGATAGCAACTGAGGTGGATAAAGGCTCTCAAGTTTGTTTATATTGGGGTAGAGGCGACTCATTCTGGGATATAACTGTGTTACGGGACCCTGTTTTAGTCTTAAATATAAAAAAAAAAAATTTAAAAGGGTATGTCAAAAAAAAACTGTTTAACGTTATTTCGCCACAGCTGAATACTACATAGTGTCCTGCATGATTTCAGCAATTATCTTAGAACATGTGTAGTATATTTACAAAAAAATATCTCTTCATTCACTTTACAGTGGCTGAATACTTTGCAGGCCTTACAGCACAGGTGTCAAACTCTGCTCCTCCAGGGCTTGTATCCTGCAGGTTTATTGCAAAACACATTTGTCTCCACGCACTCTTGTGCAGACAGCAGTTTATTAGAAGAAATGCTACAAAACAAGAAAAGACAGTTTTCAGGAGATAGAAACATTAAATGTATTGCTCCTGGAATGATTCCGTGAACGCTCTACACACAGTTTTATCCCTTTAACATAATAAACACAATACTTTGAAAAGCTTCCTTTCCCATCGCGTAGACTGTATATCACATGAGGATTTCTCAAAGTGCCATTTGGTTGAGTTCAGCTTTCACTTTACCTGAGTCACAGCCAACAACGTTAAAGCACATTTTGTTTTCTTGGGCACTTTTATCACAGCTTTATCGTAAGTCTTCAAAATGAACACACACAAAACATCAGTCAATGTCTAAATATCAGCCACTATCACAAAAAAAAAAGAGGACACGTTTTGTTCATATGCACGGCTTAGGCTTGTAACTAGCTTTCCAATAAATACTTGTTTTTGCCAAGCGGCTTTTTCGTGTACAGTCCAAATGTGAGACGTGCATTTTGGTCTGCAAAACCCCACATTTTTACATTTCACTTTTCACAATTTTTGTGCTTTTTGTTTTCCCCTAAGATGGCACAAGATGCCAATGCTCTGTCTAAATTGGAATCTAGTCATCTGTGCAAAGAAAGTATGACAAAGTGATCCATCAGTTTCTACGCCGCAGGGCTCAATACCAAGCCCCCACAAATTCCGGGGCTAACATTAAGGCATGTGTGTCTCAACTACAGCCTGGGGCTATTTAGTGAAATGTCTTGTCCTCGCACAAGCTGACAGACTTATTGACGAGCATCTTTGCATCGTTCACAAACTTGTAGCCAAACAGTTTCATGGTGGGTCCGCACAGTCGCTGCACCGCCTGAGCCAATGTGAAAGGAATGCTATATCTCCATTTCTCCGCCTGCTCCGATGAGTTCCTTTGGGTGGAGAAGAAGTCGTCGGCGTTCTGCGTGGTTTGGGTGTTCCTCAGGATCCACTCGCGGGCTTCGGGGCTGAACGGAATCCCCGTGAACCTGTACATCTCCTCGACTCTCTCCACTGGGTTGCGAGTGACGTCTTCGTAGCGCATCAACATGTAGCTTTTCCTCAGCCAGCGAGGTTGGCTCAGGCCCAGCTCAGCAGACCTTTTCATGTTGTCGCAGTTCCCCTGTAGCGCCTTCCACTCCTCGTCATTCTCAGGCACCTGACCGTCCTGCACCAAGGACTTCAACGTCTGGTACTTTGTGGAGAAGACCACCATGCGTGATGCCAATATGGCACGCGGATCACGGACTAGCTGGATTATTTTGACATTCAGCCGAGGGTCCTCCACCAGAGGCCGCAGCATTTCCAACTGATGGACGCGGACAGTCTTGATGGCTTGGTATTGTTTGGAAAGGCACAACTGCGAAGCGAGTGTCAGGTTGAGTGGACCGCACTGCTGATTTGGACAGCGGAACCTAAAACAAGGGCACACGTTTTAGACAATATTTATACTGACGGAAGCGCGGTTAAAATAACACGACGGACCCCCTGACTGACGATTACCATTTGGTTTGGTTAGAAACAAAAATGACGGACTGACCATGACGGACAAGACTTGGGCAACCCTGCTCGAAGACACCCTTGTGTCTGCCACAATTTCTGTTCAAAACTATCCCGAAAAAGTTATCCTTGCCATATAAATCACCAACATATCAATCTTCCAGATTTTACTGCAGCCATAAAACTTCAAAACACTCTCCTACAAACACGCAAACGCAACTAAATAATGGTTAGTTCAGCCATTGTTTACATTCATGTAATAAGTACGTAATGGGATAATGCTTGCACTATCTCTATGTAATGATGGATTGCAGATGACAATTTCAAATTTTGGTTCAGACTTGAGCAAGCATCATGGAAAAGTTGACACATTTGATTTGCGGGCCACACAAAATGATATGGCGGGCCGGATATGGCCCCCGGGGCCTTGAGTTTGACACCCGCGCTTTTTCCCGTTCAAGGACAGCAGTTACTCCAGTGGACAGCTTATCAGGTTGTCAGGTTGCGGGGCGTATGAAAGGGGTGAAATCTCATTCAGCCACAAAATCAACAATACCTCTCAAAAACCTCCTTGACGAAGGGGGTACAGACTTGCTCTTCACACAGTGACAAACTGGAATATCTGCGGAACAGCCACGTGGCCACATGGTCCTGAGGTGGGGGAGAGAGGAACTTCTCCAGAAGGGAAAAGTCACACAGGAAGAGGCCCTGGAGTACGTCCCGATAAATTGCCGGCAAGAAACTGCTGTTGTACGTCTTGATCGACGTGTATTGTACATGCCACAGAGGTTCGAAGAGGTAGAACATGTTCTTTCCGTGCTGGTTAAAGACTTCGCCCATGAAGGAAGAACCTGATCTTGTGGTGGCCATGAGCAATATGTTCTTACGGCCACCATTTTGAAGTTCTTCCTCACGCCGCTCCTCGGTTTGATTGGTGCGACTCTCTTCGGAAGCATTGACTTTAGACAGCAGCATGTCGAGCGCAGTCAAGTTATTTGTGGTTGTTTTGCTGTAATCCGGTGACGATTGCGTGGTCTGCGGCGGAGTTTGCCTCTGCATCATTTTGTCGGACATCCTGATGACAATAGATATGAGATATTAGATGAGATGAGAGAGACGGGCTGGCTGAAGGCGATTAGGAAACGAGTCGATTTTTTGGGGGAAGTCTTACCTTGATATGATATTGCTTTCCTTTTCGATGATGACCAACGCCACGATAAAGACGAAGACAACGGCATATTTGATCTTCATTTTTTTTTTTAAAAGTTCTGGTGTGGCAACTCCAATTCTAAAGGGTGTCTGCAGGTTCATTCTGCACAACAAAAAAAAAAGGATTGTGTGACAAAGATTAATTAGTTAACACCCATACCACCTTCTTATGCAGGACTTATCCCCATTTTAGTGGACTGGAGCCTGTCCCACAAAACACCCTGGACTGGTCGCCAGCTAATCACAAGGCTTGGATAAATTTCCAAAAGAAATGATGTTTTTGACGAGGGGAAAAGTCGAACAACGTTGGGGTTGCCTCACTGGGCCTGCACTAAAAATTGTTAAAAAAAAAAAGCATGCAGAATTATACTTGAAAACAAATCTGCAATATAGCAAATCCGCAATATAGCTAGGGACCACTGTACTAAAATGAATTGCCTATTTGCCAAACGGATCATTTTTGACAAACATTTTCAGCCATTTTTGACGTCACAGCTGGCCCGATATTAAACCTCAGAAATGTTCCAACAGTTTTCTGACCAAGCGAGATTTGGAGACTCGGAGAAAGGACACTTAGATGGATGAGGGATTGGGTTGGGGAGCATGGCGGGCGGTCCGGGGGGCGGGTTGCATTTTTTTTTCTTCTCCCCGAATCGAACTTTTTCTTTTTTGCAGATCTGTTCGACTATATTCCCATAACCCATCATGCCATTTTGGACCCGTTCATGAGCAGGATTAATTTTCACATTTCAAGTATCTAATTAAACATGATTTTCAGGCCCTTGTTGGCCGATCGTGTGCTCTGTCAGTAAATATCACCCAATTATCTCAGTTGAATACGTCACGAGCGTCAAAGCGTTAAAAGACCGAGGCACTGGAGCTTGCGCGCTTTTACATATTCAGGAGTTGCTGGAGCGTTTTGGCAAATCGGACTATTTGTTCAAGCAGAAACACCCATCAGTCTGTTTAAGATCTCGCCACAGTTTGCATTAATGGCTGACTTCACAAGTGGAAACACTGAGATCTGAATTCCCACTGGATGCGTGGCTGTTTTTTTTTTTTTTTTCTGGGATGTTACTCCAAGCAGAAACACCCATCAGTCTGTTTAAGATCTCGCTACATTTTGTATTAATGGCTGCCTTCACAAGTGGAAACACTGAGATCTGAATTCCAACTGGATGCATCGCTGTTTTTTTTTTCTGGGATGTTACTCTAAATCACTAATTGTCACTGGACAGACAAAAACAAAATCATTCAAATAAATTCAAGATGTAAACACTGATTAGCTGGCCCTTGACGTGTGTCAAAAGGACTCAAAATGGGTTTTGAATATCTTTAAGTCCCAGTAAAATGCATTGTGTATTTTTAAATATATTATCATTTGTACATGTTTGAAGATAGTTGCTGAAAATGTGTGTAAAGATTGACTTTTATCTACATTTCATTCAGATTGTTTCGCGTAATGTTTTCGCTGTTGAAAATAATTCAAATAAATTCAAGATGTAAACACTGATTAGCTGGCCCTTGACGTGTGTCAAAAGGACTCAAAATGGGTTTTGGGTGTCTTTAAGTCCCTGTAAAATGTATTGTGCATTTCTAAATATATTATCATTTGTACATGTTTGAAGATGGCTGCTGAAAATGTGTGTAAAGATTGATTTTATCTACATTTCATTCAGATTGTTTAGCGTAATGTTCTCGCTGTTAGCCTTAAGCTAACCTAGCTTATTGCTAATGCACTCAGGGACAGTTAACATTAACTTGCCGTGTATCTTGGGTATGTTGACACGTTTAGAAGATGTTTCAACTGACCTCAAGCTAAATTTGTCTGAATGCAAGGGTACACATTCGGTTTTATTTAAAAACAGTTGGCCAGACAATCCAGCTATATTTGAGTAACCTCAGTTTCTTCACAAGTAACGCATTGTCCGGGTCAAGCTCTTCAGTCCACCAAGCTTCTTCTCTAACTACTGACCAAGCCTCTGCCCCAGATAACAACCAAAAACTGAAAAAGGCAGAATCAAACTTTTTTTTTTTTTATCCTTGGTGAAAGGAGAACGTCTCTTCTTTCATTTGGTAGTTTAATATAGGTATAATCATTGACCACCATATCCCGTGGCTCTTAAAAATGTCAAAAAGCTCAAAATGGCTGGAAGTGAGACCAAAAAACAAAAAGAGGAAAAAATTGTCTTCTGGTCTCCCCATGTTTTTCCCTTTATCATAGAGTATCTGTTCGCAGACGATGTGGTGTGTTCTGGTTTGCGACAGGATATCTTCAACTGGCACGACAATGCATCAACTACACTCTCAGTTACTTCACTGCTATCTCAGTGAGACAATTGAGCTATTGTCATTAAGGCTTAGTAGGACCCCGGGAAGGTGAAATGAATTCACCTCCCCCTGCTTGAACAAGGAGGTCGAACAGCAAGATGTTACCAGCGGGGTCTGTAGTGCGAGGCCAAGTGAAATCAAGATTTTGTACTAAAAACTACTCGATTCATTTGAGTAACATTGGCGTGACTCCCCCTCAAATATTCCCAATGAAACATTACTGCGATCAGATTACACTTTGGTGGATTTTGGGCCTGATGCTTAATCTGTTGGGTAAATAGCTCAGCGGACTCGTGTTGTTCCCGTGTTGCCGCATATGACGTGTTAAATACGCCAATGTTTTTTTAATGAGTTTCTACTTTAGACAGGCAAGTCCAAATTCAGAGTCGCACGCCTTCAATGTCGTGCTAACGTTGTTCTGCAACATGCCGGGAAGCACCGAGAACCACTGGAAGTGATGCAGTGTCATTAATAGTCCGAAGAGGTGGCAGAGAAGGTACCCAATTTAGCTCCAGTAATCCCACAGGGCACTTATCCCAAATGTTTCAGAAACCGGAATTTTGACCTGAACCCGTATATTGACTGCATGTAAACATGGTCATA